TAAAATAATGTCTCACTTTTTATAGTTTGCTTTAATGTACAATACAAAGGGTACTTAAATATTGAAATAAAGCACTAACAATGTAGGCACCAAAGCAAAAAATACAACTTCTAAAATGAAAAATGAAAAGTAAAGTAATGACAACTGAATGTAAGCAATTTAAGCAAATATCTTTACTTGTGGCTTACTGGCAGTTAGGTACCAAACACCATTGTCTGAAATAAAATAAAATAAAATCATTCCTTTTTTTTGCATGTACTTACCTGTAATCGGTTGAGGTCTTCCTTCACCTTGATCTTGGCAGATTGGAGTTTCTCCCGTAGGGTGTCATAGTACGTGTCAGGTGCAGCGAGGAACTCCATCCCCCGGGCGCGCAGGTTCACAATCTGTTTAAGACCAGAATAGATATAAAGAAGCCTGTTCCAACATGTAGAGGTGTAGGTCTATAAGTATTTTGAGGCTCTAAATGTAATCATACACGACTTACAGTTTCAATAATGTTGCTTGTGTTGAGGGCAATATGCTGCACTCCAGGGCCTCCATTATAGTCAACATACTCCTGTGGATAAAATGGTAAGTACAAGTGAGATAGAATCACTGTTGAAGGGGACATATTGTGTAAAATTTAGTATTTATAAGCTTTTAACCATGTCTAACAGTGTTTCCTAATCATTAACTTTCTCAAACTTATATTTCGATTTATTCATGCATGTTTGAATAATCCTGTATTCTCCTGCATTGGAGGCTTGGGTACTTAGAAAATGTCTGTTTTCATCCACCCCTATCTCCACCCAGTGCTCTATATTTAGTTGCAGCTATTCAAGCAATTCAGGCTGTTGGTCATACATGGTTCAAAAATGTCACAATAAAAAATGTAAATAAAAATCTGCTGCTTGCTATGGAAAAAAAAACTAATATGAAGAGGTGAGACACCCCCCCCACACACACACAAATACTTCAACAGAGCTCTGAATCCTCCTGTGTTATAGATTTAACAATAAAAATTACTTCATTTTAAATGTCCTCAAGAGAAACAACCCTATTCTGGATGTGAAAACCTTTGACTATCCAGTCTATGTGGTCAAAACAGTATAATGATGACTAACACTGCCATCTAGTGTTCAGTTTTTGAAGCCTGGTAGCGGTGCCTGTTGGGGTCAAACCTGGATTTGTGACTTCTTTTTCCCCTGTGCCGGTTCATTTATGGGCATTTTGATGGTCTCTTCATAGTTTGTCACCACTATAGACCTGAGAGAACTGAACTGTGTGTGGATCTGCTTGTCGTCTATAGACCAAAACCGATGGAACAGCAAACACTTCTGATACCTGCCAAAGCATAAACCTATGTTACATTTTGACCATATTGAGCATTTTGATTTGTCTAGACCCTTTAAAATCAGAGACTAAACAAAGCACACCATAAAACATTTTCAGTTAGGTTCTAACAATTTTGAATTTCCAGGATAGAAATGTACATTTGATTGCTTTTCTTTTTCAAATTATAGAAAAATCAGCACTAAAAGTGTAGTTAATTAATAATTTAATATCTGTAAATAAAGTGAAAACTATTGTGTGCATGTCTATATTTATTTGTGCAGTAAAACCTAAAAAAAATAATCTCGACTTCATTAAATGTCTATTATAACATCCTAAGGAATAACCAAATAAATATGCAGCTGTAAATGTAATGTAAATGTAAGGACTAATATCATGTATCTGGGTCCTTTTCATTTGACAAACCCCCCTTTTCCTTCAGTTCCCTTTTCCTTCAGTTCCAGAATTGCCATTCCAGATATATACATTTTAAAAAGGTCTACACAGGTCACTCATTATCACAAATTAGGATGTACTTGTACTTTGCCTCATGGGCTGTTGTTTGTACGTGACCTTGGACATGGGTCTCACCAGTCTGAAATTGGCACCATTTGGTCATCTGGCTGGTTTCCCACAATGTGATCAATAAACCTTAAACCTCCTGGGGGGCTGCAACAAGAAAGAAGATACACACAGTTAAATAGTCAGTTAAATGCTGAGCCTTTCTTAACATATTATACTGTGGTTTGTAAATACATTTGCCAAGACAACTGATACTGCTTACAGTTTTTGTAATAGAGGATCCTTAAACAGGGGTTCTTTGAATCCAGGCAGGAAGAGACCTTTGTATGGTCCCAGGTACTCAACAAATGTGTGAGTGGTGTCTCCATACTGGCAGAAAAAAATAATTTGTTTAATAAAAACGATAGGGTATCTTTTGGTAGCTTGCTTCTCGTACCGTTTGAACCATGGCATATTTGACTTTGCCATGACTGTCCTCCTCAACCCAGGGCTCCTTCACAACCGTTGCCCCTCTCTCCTTTGCTGTCTGTCAGTGCAATAAAAAAGATAAATACATTGTTCAAAAAAAGAGCAATAAACCCCATATAACTGAGCTGTAGCGTAATTCTGAATTTGCCACTAAATCAGTTCCAGTTCATTGTAGGTCACTGTGTAGTCAACACTGTTACGTAAAGCTTTACCTGACCTTGACTAAGGTAAAGCAAATCACTAAAACACAACTGTTGTCCTTAACTGTCAATAGAACTTCCCCTGTTTCAGGAAGTGAAGCATGTCAGTACTTCAACATAAACTATACAGATCACTTACACATTATCAACAATACCTTAATCAAAAAATCGCAGTCTTCCACTTGAAAAGCAATGTCTTTGACTCCATCCCCATGCTTTATTAAATGTGCACCCATTTCTTGAGAAACAAAGAAACATTTCACAATGTATTTCAATGCACTTTGGTCCATAGAATCTACATCATAATGAGGGGTTGTGTTCTTATATTGCAACCAACCTTTATTCCCAGGATTAAGTGCAGATTCAAACACTAACATGATCTAGTAAAATAAACATTATTGATATTACTTACGTGGATATGTTTTTATGACATCATAATTTTACCTTGTCCTGTCTGATGACATGTGCAGCCACCTCTCGGCTCCCGGTCTCCAGGCCTTTGTAGGCAAGAGGTTCAAAGCCCATCTTATCACAGTAGAACGAGGCTGCCTGGAATAATGTGCACATTCATAGTCGTGTTTCTATTGCAGTCTCTAGACTTTGATCATGTGTGGAAAATTCTATCATGTTTAGGGTTACATAAATGATTATTTTGCTAGTCCAATAATCTGATGAGTCCCCAAAACCTTTCCTCAGCACATGGCATGTTTTTGAGTCTTTATAAAGTCCTGTTAATGATTATACAGTTACTAGTAGATAATATTTGTATAATCAATTAGTTGTGAGTAATCTGATTAGTTACAACTCAGTAGATCAAACTGAAATAATTATAATCATCCATGACATTGTTTAATAAGCAAACAATTACAATGATTTGGAACTGACCTGTTTAGCATTGCCAACCCAAAAGGTGATATGATGAAACCTCAGAAACCGTCCCTGTTTGTGCTAAGAATAAAACAAATCTGTTAAAATACACTGTACACACTGTCAATTGGTGAAACATTTCTTGCCAACTTCATCATGAAACTGAGTGAATGTTTAAGTAACTGCACTTCACTCACAAATTTATTCTTACCTTCTCCCCTTTGTCTGTGTAGCTCGTCTGAAATAAAAGAAACAAAAAAGTTAAACTGATCATGTAGGTCAGAAGGATATTGATTTGGTGCTGTTGTTGTGACGCATCACTTGACATAGTAAACCAAAAATACAAATGATTTTACAATATATTAATCCAAACCTTATCTAAACCTTAGTTGAACTATCCATTAAAAACTTACCATGATCAGATGAAGCTTCAGTGTCCAAAAAATAAAAGATCTAAATCAGTCCTAGATTGCAGAGAAAGACTGACCTGAGAAGATCTCACCTAAAAAAATACTGTCCCAATGTCCACCGGTGATTGGCCGTCTGGATGTCCTCCCGTCACCACCCACCTGTCTGCCTCCTCGCTTTAGGCCATGTCAATGTGTGAACGTCCATCTCTGTCCATCTCTACCACAGCCAGTCCATCTATGTTAGAAGGGAAATTGTTAGCTTTGCATTGAAATTGTTGTCCACAACAGAGCCTGTATAGAATGAGAGTCTTGGAGCAGTATAGACTACAGCTTTATAAGTTAGGTATTGTCTTGTTAAATATTGTTCAGAATAAATTATACCCACTGGCCCTGAAAATAAACCTTGTTCAGAATCCTCAGTGAAAGACATTTCCTTCCCGTGTTCTTCGCTAGAGGGAGCTATGGGGCCATGTATAGGCTACTTGTGCTACAGCTTATACACTATTTTAGACAATAGACAATAGACATGTATTGTATGCTTAAATAAAGGGTAAAATAGGTAGGCTACCAGTCCTACTTTAGGCCCTATAGATTTTCTAATGAGACATGCACTTTGACCTAATAGCCCCGCCCCCATATTTATTCTAAAGTGCAAAAGCTTGGTTTGGTTTCAAAGTGCATGTGAGGTCAACTCACTCAACTCAAGTAATGCCGGGCCAAGGCTGCAGTCAGTTTACCATACAGACAGAATTCTGTTTACCCTATACACCCTACTTTTACACTGTGGCTAGGAAGGCAGGAAGGATGATTTCCGACTATTTCTTTACTTTTCTTATTGATGTTTCGTTGACTGTTATACTCTAGGTTTCGTTTATGTGGCTTCTCAGAGAAGAGTTCATTCTTTTGAAGCGGCAGGCGCACGTACCGTGTCGTGTTTGTGAGTACGTTCACTTTGTGCCGCGCTGTGATTTTCTATTGGCGTTCGAAACAGTTAGAACTATATTTGATTGGCTCCTCCGTGGGCGTGTGCTACGCCCATCCTTTATGTTTCTGTATTATGATTGGTCCGTGAGAATCCCTCATCCTGATTGGCGCATACGTCACGGCTCCTTCTTCTCTGATTGGATCAGACTGCAGTCATCACGCGGGAATGCGGAAGTAGTGTAGTCTACTGAGTCACCGTTGTGTCAGCTGATTCTTTCTGAGTGAGTAACTCGGTTTAAATTTCAAAAAGAAGTGATTTCCTTGGTGCGTTTGACTGTGACATAATTTGCGTGTTATGTGCATTCGTTGGGCTTGCCGTGTGCCATTTGTTTTTGCAGTTTTATCGGTAAATGGGCGAGCTTTTCGCGCCAGATGGTTAAAGTGATGCTATCCGGCAGTTAGCACAATGCTACTTTGCAAACACGCGTACATAGCACAGTGGGCCGCTTTGGTTTGTGTGTGTGTCTGCTCTGGAGTCTTCTGAGCTCACAGGCGGGTACTGCTTTCACTTTCTTCACACATGTGCAGACCTGACACACCTGTTGTCTCTGCCAGAGCTGTCATAAAAGTCCTATCACTTCTACACACCTGACACGATCACGCGTTGTGCAGGAAATCACAGCGGAATACCCCGCCTATTAGTAGATTATCGAGAAAGAAACAAGTGCTACGTGAATTCCATTACCACACCATATTTTAACATGGATTTCATTATACTCACGTCTAAGACCATCTTGCATTCACTGAAGTAAGAATGAAGCGTTTAGGAAATTAATTAATAGATCTTCATTAGTTCAATTATTCTTAAAAATTAGTACCTGATATTTTCGACAGTCTAATTAAACATGCTTTCACGCGTAATTAGACTGTCAAAAAAGGTTAAGGCCAGATGTATACGGTTAAATGTTAGGCATGCAAAGGCCTACAACGTGTATCCTTATATCCTCTCTTTCACGCAGTCATTTTTGAAACTGTATGCTTTTGCTTTCTTAAATTTTTCGATTTGATGTATTTTATTTCACTTAAAAATGTAAATGTAACTAATTTAGAAAGAAGATGCCCAACATCTTTGTCAACAAGAGAAGTAATTTTTAAAGCGCATGTATCTGAAAATATTACCTACAACTTTGTAGGTAATTGTTGCATAATTCCTGAAGATTGAATAATGTGAAGAGGGTCAACTTTTAGGGTTTTAGTGAGTCTGCATAACTGATGTTTAACTGCAATGTTTAACTAGTCCTGCTTAGGTCATTTAAGTGGGCATAGCAATGAACTTATTTAAATTCTCAAAGGTTGTGAAATAGTTTTGAATGCATCTTGTGTGCAAAAATTGGCTTTATTGTCTTTGATTAGCACTTTACATTTTACAGTACCATATGAGTGTCGTGTATTTACTTTTCAGAAAGTCTTTTGCAGTGAAAAGCTGTTCAGTGTTGATAAAATGACTCATGTAGTATGGCTTCTTTCACTCTTGCATGGATAGAGTGTGGGAGGGAGAGGAGTACTGAGCTGAAAAGGGAGGGACAGCCAAGGCATGTCAAGCACTGGATTACTACCAGAATGTTTCGGAGAGAGCTACTATACAAAGCACCTAGCTGTATTTGAACTGCAAAACTTCCATGCGGAGCTCTGTCATGCATCTGAATTTGAAATAGAACAGGTAAGCGGATTGAGAAATACTTGCTTTTCAAACTTTTCCCTTTGCTTGTGTGGTGTGGTGTGCAAAAGGGGGTGTGTCAGCAGAAAAAAGAACTGGGTACAAGTTCAATCAGGATTAAACTTTTTCCACAAATTGATTTATTTATTTTTATTTTTTTCAGTTTGTCAAAGAGGGGAAAATGTAATTATGCATAATTGTGTCAAAAAATTATATACATTTTATTTGTTTTCTGTTTTGCGAGAATGAACAGTTCAGTATATAAAGCATTCATTGTTCCAGTTAAGTCTATTACAGTGTATTCCAGTAAGTATTGTGTTGCAGGTGAGGTTTGGAATGTTGTGTTTGTGTTTCCTGTAAAACACAGTTTCGCTTCTGGCCGTCGTGTCACTTGATCCTCAGTGGAGGACCTCACATGTGCCTGCTTGTCTGTGTCTGTGTGTAGAGGCTGCTGACAGGGCCTGACCTCATTTGGTCTGAAACATCCCAGACTAGAACTTTGGACAGGCTGTGCTCAAATCTTTGTACTCAAACTTTTCATGCCTTTTATAAAAATGAATATGCATTGGGTGTGTTAAGATGATTTGGTCAATATTTCAAGTCACAATGAGAACTTAAAAATAATAAGTGATTTCAATTCAGTCTGTTCTCCCAAAAAGCAAACCAAGCTTTTTTTTTTTTTTTTATCGGTTTCTTTTTTTTATGTCAGATGAACTGTACTTGACCAGAAATTTAAATGTTTTAAGTTCATCACACATGAGAGGATTTGTCATCTATTAGACATTGTGATTGAAATAAAATGTCATTTTATAGGTTATATATAGAAATATACAGTTTTTCTGTATGTGTCAAATTAATAATTGTGAATAACTGTAAAAATGTATGTTCCTTCTCAATAACTATAATAATGTCAACATTCATAACACTAAAGTTATATTGTGCACATTGTTGACAATTATTGTTCCTGTATTGTGCTTGCGTCACTGTTCCTCCAAATTGCTGTACTGAAAGAGTGCAGTGCATTACTAACCTTTTGCTAACGTAGTGTGTTCATGTGTTGGCAGGAGTTACACCTGGCACAGCAGCAGCGCCCAGTAGAGGAGAGGGAGGGATCTGTGGAGGAGTGCCCAGATCCTCTGTCTTCACACTGACTGACAGCATGGTGAGCCAATCAGAGAGACACAACTAATCTTAATAATAAGCACACAGTAAAACATGATATTATCTGCACTTACACCTAGATTTCTAGTGGTGTGTGGGTACGCAATATTTTATACATTGTGTACAAACTATGTGCAGTCAGGAAGTCTCTACAAGTCCAAAGTACATTTAATTTCAAATACGTTTATTATTGACTATTGACAATATCGCTATGATTTTTTTAGACCATATTAATCTTATTATGCATTTGTTGAGGTCAAGATCAGTCAAATGTAAAATTGACATTTTATTAAAACTTGACGAAATATATTTTCTTTTAATTTTTTTCTTCTTTTTTTTTTTTTATTTGTCTCTTTTTTTTCCTTTTATTCCAAAATTTTAATGTGCAAATTTCTAATATTAAGTATATCTTCAAAACAGAACAGTATGTCTTCACACTAGTATATTAGCCATAGTAATTGGTTCTGCTATTCCGAAAAGATATCAGTTGTAAAAGTAACACAAAACACAAAAAAACACTGAATATATGTCATGAGCAGAATTATTCTGTCGTAATTAGAAACATTTTACATTAATTTACAGGAACACCACTTTTTTTTGGCTATTTTTCCCAGTAGTGAATTAGCATACATCTGTGGTTTAAAGTAAAAAGCTTTCTCAGCAATAATAAAATGATTGCACTTTGAAACAGAAAATAGAACAGTGATCAATATGTTCTGTCTGCAGAGCTGGAGTTGTCTGTGCATATGAGTGCAGATTATTCTAATTCCAATGACATATTTCAGCCACTTCAAGCTGCTGCACGTTTTTGCTCGAACAAGAAGCAACTGCCCAAACTTTCTTCAGAAAAAGCCCACAGGTTCCAACAAAACTCAAGTGTTAATTTGTATATGTCTGTTACTTTCAACATTGTTTAAACAACACTTGAAACCACAGTGCAGCACAAGAAGAGAGAAGTAATCAGAGAAGAGACAAATACGTTTAGTGTTTAAAGGCCTGAAATAGGAAGTGTAACAGGAGGATGTGTCCCGAGTTTCTGCTGGCCGAGTCCACAGAATGTCCCTGTGGCCCAGTGCCGCTCTCTGCTTTTTATGGGGCCCCATACCCCTTTGGGTCAGAGACATGAGCAAATAATGTGTCCCTCTACAGAGACAGAATGTTCAGCTGCACCAGCCCAGTGTACTTGTTTTATGTGCACTGACCATCTCCATAAAGTTATAAAAGTGGGACAGTACTTGACAGGTCAGTAGCCTATTGTGTTTTAATAGGCATCTTTATGGTGTAGACCTTGTAGGCCTACAAAGAGTTTATTTATTTTTATTTTTTTCTAGGGACACAACAATACTGTTATGTGGGTCACAATATTGTTGACTTTTTTTGTTCCACATGGATGAACCATTACAAATGTGTTCTATATAAATTCAAGGATGACTGTCAGTATTCCTATATCAAAAGTGGAAACTGTCATCTAACCTTTTCATTAGTTTGAGTTTTCTTTGAAACCCTCGTCCCCAGCAACAACAACAGCGCCTCCTCTTTGTACCCTCTTACTTCTACAATGCTCTCCTAAACTAAGTTCTAAAAAGTGAATATAGTTTAATTGACTGCTTTTGAGTGAAAATCTAATATTTATTGCAGGGTAATTTATACTTTAGTCCTATTGTCTCCTAAATGTTTATTCCTTGTGATATTTCATACCCAGTGAAAGTAATTCCAAATCTATCCACAATTTTACATTGTTTTGTGTGTCCCTCTAACATGTAGCACCTTAACAGGGTAAATTAGCTGTGTGTGTGTGTGCAACTGTTTGCTCTGTGTTGTGGTGACAGGGTTGTTTTTCCAGGTGGGAGTGCACAACATTGTCCCAGCAGTTTGTTCCACAGGTAACCCGATCCACCTGATCCTTTCTGCTTAATTGCTTCCCAGCCTCCTGCTTTTTCAGTAAAACAAAAACCTGGATGTATTTCAGTCATTCCAGAGTCTTCTTTGTCCTCCTGAAATAGAGGAACAATAGGGATGCTTTTTTGTGACCCATAATGCATCAGGTGCTCACCATCAATGACAATGGCTGGTGAGCATAGAAGGAAGATTTTGTCACCTTAAGTTGTGATGTTGTCAGCACACAGGTTAGGCAAGATGAACACCTGCCTCATAATCTGATGTGTGATGATGGTATTGGATGATGTTCAGCAATGTGTTCCATAGCCTGGTTAATGGTAATTTGGCTGACTGTTTGTTATATCTCTAAGTTATATAAAATAAAATACACATCTAAACTAATTTTTGACTTGTTTGACCGCTTCACTTTGCTGTAGTGTGTCTGCAGGTAACCTTGTTGTCCATTAATATCCTTGTCCCATCTGTATGTGTGGATAGAGCTGTGCTTGGGTGACTGGCTGGCCTCCTTTCCTAAAATAAACCTGAAACCCAGGAGGCCGAATGGGGTTTTGTGTATGGGTGTGCTGGGTGCGGCCGGTTGTGAGGGAACGCTGGGACAAATGTTCTCATATTAATACTTCGCACTGGGGGTGTTTTACATTTATGGTGTAATGCTCAGCAGTTACCGTGGTGACACAATGAACACATTAGCAAATGCTGTCAACAAAGTTTTAAGAAAAAAACAAACAAAATGGATTTAAACAACAGTTTGAGGAGCCTATGATCAATATGAGCGTTCACATATATAATGTTGATATAAGTCTATAGTTTCAGCACAGTGTAATCACATGGGTATTGATTTGTGGAGGTGAATTCCCCCAATGAATATCTTGTCCATTTACTTAATGAAATGGGCCGTACACACAGCTGCATCATAGCCTTATTGCATAAAGCTTTTATGTCATCTGTATATGCCTGTAGTTATAAATTAAGGTCTGAGGACCTCTACAGTATAGTTTTACATATTACTTATCTGGCCCCCTTATTCCCATAACTGATCTTTTAAGGACTTATATTGGCTACTCATTGATCTCACTTGAAAAGATGGTATTACAAATGCCCTATCTAATGTTATTTTCCACTGTTCTGCATATTAAATAGAAAATTACCCCACTGTTCCGATGCTGCTGCAGTGTACCGCGTGGCTCTGTGTTACATAATGTGGGCTTCATGCAGGCAGCCGCTGAAGGCGAGTGTCACGACTCTGATGAGGAGGACACAGAGGTGAGGGGGGAGGGGCTGTGTGTCCCCCTGAGCGCAGCTTTGCCCTTGACTCTTTGTAAAGCACAGGAAGCTGCAGCAGAATCTCCATCAATACAAATCTGCTGCATTTGAAAACGACACAGAGACAGAGCAGGTGTGGAGAATGCTGTGTCATTTCTCCCCCTCCCTCTCTTCTCCCTCCCTCTCTCCTCTCTATTTCCTCCCTCTCTCCTCTCTTCGAGTTGTCCTCCACTCGTGTCCTGTGCTAAATGACTGATGACAAACAAAGCCCAAAGTCTAGACGTGCCATGGCCTTCACCTGTGTTGCCTTTTATAGAGCTCTGTGTGTATCTGTGTGTATCTGTGTGTACCCTCCACTCATGACAGCAGCCCTGCTCTCATGTCTCGGTCTGTGGATGCTGCAGAACACTCTGTGCTTTAGCGCCTGGGTGCTGGGGCGCAGGCATATTTATGAGGGGATGTCGGTGAAGGGTGAACGGGAGGGGAGGAGGAGGAGGGTGAGATGAGAGATAGGAGCACGTGAGAATGGGCGCGGGAGGAGGATGCGCGCGCAGAGGGCGGAGCTAAGCATCAGGCTGCTCCCTCCTCAGCCTCTTCTCTCAGCGGTCTCCTCCGGCACTTTCCCTTGTTCCTTTTATCTGCCACAGCTCAAGCACATCTGGGGTTATCACTTTTCCAGTGCTCCACTTGGCTCTTCATCAGCTGCTTCTGTGGACATTCATGGTCTTTTCTGGGCTGGACTTAAAAGCAACAGGAGCTACTCAGACCAACGTTCTCTGTGCTCTTCAATGGAGCTTTAGGAGGCAGCGTGTGAATGTGACCAGGCGACTGCGCAGGATCTCTGGACCAGCTCTAAGCAGGAGGAGGGGGAGGAACAGAGCAGAGGAAGAGGAGGAACAGAGCAGAGGAAGAGGAGGAACAGAGCAGAGGAAGAGGAGGAACAGAGCAGAGGAAGAGGAGGAACAGAGCAGAAGAGGGAGAGAGGAGCAGAGGAGGTGGAGAGGAAGGGGCCGGGGGAAGAATGGTAATGCCGGCTCCGCGTGCTTGTGCTGCGCTGCTCCAAAGGCTGTGTGTCGCCGTGACACAGCCCTGCCGCTCCTCGACATGAGTCGTGCAGGGAGGGCATCCTGCTCTATGCTTAACTGCTTTGTAAGTTCTTTTAGCTTTGTTACTATTGTACATCCAATCAGAGAGCCATGATGCTGAGGAGGGAGAGGGGGTGTTGGCTGTCACACGTGAGTGCTGCAGTTATTAAGTAACCAGAGTGGACTCTACTTAGAACTGTAATGGAACCACCTGGATGTGTTCTCTGGGCTCAGATAGTGCTTTTATTGCTCACTCTCGTTTTGTACCGTGGAGCTGTTGATGTGGGGATCAGAGGCCTGAGAGTCAAACATGTGCAGAGCATCAGAGCTCGCTGCAGAAAGACTCTAATGGGAGATCCTCTTTATTCATTTATCGACAATCCTTGTGGCTTGCATATCGCCAGCATATCGTTTATCGTTTATTTTACTTAAAACACATGGAAACTGTAATTAAGATGACAAACACGTATAATTGTACTATAAAGTGAAGTTCACTGGTACATATCTGCTCTGACTCTGTTCAGATACAGCAGGAGTGACAGTACTAGTAGTTTTACCTGAGTGCTTCGGCTGAATATGCACTTCCTGCGTCACAGTATAATGTAGAGCTGTGTCCTCCATGACTTGGACAGCTTTGACACTCTGCTCATGTGAAATGGTCTGGAGCCTTGTCAAACTGTGGAAAAACATGCTCAGCCACTGGTCCAATAAATCATGTTTATGCCCATCTGCCAAACAATGCCAGTACCAAATGGGCCCATAAACGGGCTAACTCGATTGGCTTAGATTTTTCCATGACTCGAATGCTATTATGTGTGCTAGCTAAACAAATCATGTGTACATACAGCTAAAATCTTTGGAGATGTTGAATCCACTTCTATAGCAGCATAGTGTTTTCACCCTCACCAAGTGTCTAAGACCACAACACATGGGGCAACAAGTTGAGTTTCAAGTTGTTTTAAGTAATTAGAAAAAGTATTTCTTTAAAATTATTTTGAACTCCTGACACGAACCAAAGCTGACCAGAGCTCATGTCGGTGGTCTCTAAAATATTTATACAGAGGGAGGACAAAGAGAATGATTCACTTTCCACCATCTTGAATCTTCACCTGCATCTACTACCTCCCTGGATATACTGCATTTTCTTTCATATTTTTAAACATAGTGGTTGCTATATATTTACAGTTAACATGTATTTATTGAGATTCTCTATCTTCAAACTGGTGTATATCCAATCACATCCAGATTCCTAATGTATTTTGGTCATATTTGTTAAATAATCCTGCTTGTGAGAGGACTGTTTTCCAAAAGCTTTGGTTGGAGCTGTACAGTGCAGTCTGTGATGCTAAAAAGCGTGTCCATGGCAACCAGACACTTGTGATTTCTAATGTTCCCCTGTCATTGGTACCTCCATTCACAGACTAGAGTTGAAACCAGACCTGCTCTTATCTTACTCGGGACTGTCACATTTGCCCAATCAGCTGATGGAGTGCACTGAAGATATAGTTAGTATTATCACCTTTGGGGTACATGCACGCAGCGCTGTGATTGGACGACAGACCGGGAGGCGGGTGCACAGGCTCACAGCAGTGACGAAGCAAAAACGTGTCGCGGGTGGAACAGGCTGTGCTCCATCTTTACAAGTGCTTTTAAAGTCAGTTTTAGGCATGCATTTTAACAAATGGAACCAACCACTATTTTAAATGATATGTTGAGTTTCAAGAAGCTGTGTTATAAATTCTGAATAGACTTCATTAATGATTTATTGCACTGTGATGCTTAATTTTCCTCTATAAGGTACACAGTGTCCCAGCAGCCTGTGTGCCCTGCATTAAGAAAGCTAACATCCAGTGCCAAGGATCTACCTATAGTGCATTACATAACAGGCTTTGGGCAGTGCACAGGCGCTGTGCGGTGATTGGATGTATGCACTTTTATACTGAGCAGCCTGTAATCAATGCTTTTCCTGAAATTAGTCTGGCTCATGTCCACAAAGTAAAGTCTTAAACTGTCTGCTGTGGTCTGCTGTATTCACAGGATCAAACTGCCCAGCAACACTATGAGCTCATCTGTGTGGCAGCCTCAGCTCTGACCCACGGCTCTGTCACAAAGCTCTCAAATGTACAACTGACATGGCCTCTTTGTTCAAGGGACATCTGCAAAGGTTAAGTTGGGAACCAAGTCTGAGCTTAATGTGAAGTTTTTCTGATCAGAGCTGCACAATCTATCACAAAAATATCAATATTGCAATATTGGCTGAAACATGAATCAATGTTGCAAGAAGATAAATATAAAACATATTCATATTCATAACACATTCAATATTAGAGAAATGTACTGTAAAATGCATAAAAAGCTGATTTTACTCATAATAGTCCTTATTTGGGCTGGTCTTGATTTAGTCTCATCAGTTTTTATGTTTACTAATACATGAAGGCATGCACATTTTTTGTTTTTAATTTAACTGAACTTATTGAGCCAAAAAGTAAAGTACATTAAAATATTACAATATTGTTATCGTAATACAAAACATATTGAATATGACATCTTTTTCTCATATTGTGCAGCCCTAGGTCAGATACAAGCCTACTGTTGAAATAGTTCCTGTCAATAGTATTCTAAAAGCTCTTCTTAATAATATTGGTGAGGAATGTTTTTAGTTTGGGTCAAACTGTTATTGTTTACTTATATTAAAGCACTCGTCTTCCTTATGAGAGCACACATAGGGCTCTGTCCTGAGTCTCCTTGTCACTCGATGCAGATAATTTATGATCCAATGAGAGTATTGCTTCAGCCCTCATTTGTCTCATAAGAGTCTGATATTTCAAGGACGATGTTTGTCCAGACACGAGCGATTACCTGAGAAAAGTGATGCATTATGACTTTGTTCGTGTCAGTTTGAGTGTCTTCTGAGTGTGTGGATGTGAGAGATGGCTCTGAGGGGGCTGTCTCCATCTGCTCACTGCTCTGTAGGGGTAGCTCATCCTCAGGCTTAATCACAGTCTGGACCTTTGATTGCAGGTGTAGTGTTTGTAAACAGGTGGAGCTAAGCTCCTGTTGCTTTTTTTATATTTACTCATCGACATGATCCCAGTATTTATTATCAAGATAACACAAGTGTACTATAATAAGCCTTATAGGTACATTAGGACACAGGGACATGGCTGAGCTGTTTAATCAGAAGCAGGAGGTTTTTAGGAAAGGCCTCACAATCTGTCGCTATACGTGGACAGTCAAAGAAACAACAGGCCAAAATGTGTCAGTTTCAGATAATATGCTCTCAGACTTTAAAAGGTAATGAACCTGTTTTCCAACCATCCTCCTGTAACAGTTCCTAAAAACATTGTTTTAACTTAATCTAGCCTTTTGTCATCTTGTCTCAGTGTTTGATCTGTGCTGGTACAGAAAGCAGCCTGGTTATCCTAATAGCCACGCTTCAGTTATTGGCTTCAAAAACTTAAATTGGTACCAAATAGTTTCAGTAAATAAATGACATACAAATGAATCAATATGATTGCAACATTTAATTCTATTTGCCCGAGCACCAGTACCACAGGTGTGTGCTTGATAAGAATATTTTACTACCTTAATCAGCCCAAGAATGCAATACGCCTCTGTATATCATCATAGAGGAGTTCCTGTGCTTACAAAAATGACCTTTTGAAATATTTTTTCTTGGCAGAAAGTCTGAGCTCATATGTTTAAAAAAAAAAAAAAACTGTATCACTGTTTGTTTAACACTGTTAAGACCAGGCACAAAGTCTACAGCAGTCTGGCACTAGAGCCCAGTGTCAGCCACACACCTTCTGCCAGAGGGGAATGCACACAGGAGCAGGGTTAGCAGATCATCATACTTAAGAAATTTGGAAGCACAAAACTGTCACTTTTGCGATGTGAATCATGATGCTTAAATCTACTAGTATAACCTGTAAAATATGTGATTGTGTGTTATTTGTGCAGGGTGAAGAGGGGCCTCCCAGCCTGGAGTACATCAAGGCCAAGGACCTGTTCCCCCAGAAGGAGCTGGTCAAGGAGGATGAGAGCCTACAGGTGGGCTGCCATGTCCCTGCTTTAGATCCATGAAGAGCTCTTAAAAACCTCAACATGAATTCTCATTTGACATTTGAATTTCAGTGACCATATTTTTTTGGTTGCACATATTTTTTTGCTGCATACCAACGCACTGCTGCCGCTGTGTTACAAGAGTTGCATATGTCAGCATTTTTGAGCCTGACACTTGAGTGGCCAGAGCATATGCATTAAAACTCCCTGGCTGTTTATAAGCAAGTTTGTAAGAGAGCGATTATAAGAGTCTAATGGAAATGATAAGAAACTGATAAACGGCACCAGAATGTGTGGGCGTAGGAATTCAGAATTACTCCAAACAGTTTAGATAAGACTTATTACCAAAGGTCACATTAACTATCAGAGAGGAGGCTCTGCTTGGGTAGTGTTTATAGCACTTGTGATTTATAATTGATTTGCATGTGATTATCAGCAATGAAATACTTGGAAAAAGCTATTGAGGTAAATTAATGATCATTCAATATCGGAAGGATAACTGCTTAACAATAACATATCAACCTAACCTAATTTACATTAAGGACAAGAGTTTAAAAATATGAGCTGAAACATGTATTAAGTGGTTACTTTAAGGCTCTGTTTTGTGCAAAACTTCAACATCAACCAAGACATTAAAGGCATTTATTTAAAAAAAAAACATTTCTGATGCATAGTTAAATAACGTTTTAACATCGTTTTCAAGATGAAAAAAAATAATCTTTGAAGGTACTAATTTTTGTCAATATCACCCACTCCTGCATGTTTCACAGCATCACTTGAGTCTGTTTGTCACATTGAGGGGAGATGAGGAGGGGTGTGAGTCTAAACCACTAAACACTGTAATAAAGTAATTTGTATGCTATGTGTGCCCCTCCCCCCTCTGTCACACACTGTTATTGAGGACCCGTAGTTTCACTGACACTTCATGTCTTATAGCAGCGCTCACATAAATGACAGGCATTTCCACAGTCATTATGAGCAGTGCTTTTGCTCCTCTGTGCCTCTGTTCACTGGGCCTGTTTGCTCACTGTAGTGAATGTGTGAACACGTGCGTGTCCTCACAGGCAGCGGCTCCAAGCGGAAGTCACGACTCAAGTCAGCAAGTCTCATACCCCTCCCTCAGTCTCTCTCTCTCTCTCTCTCTCTCACTCACTCTATCTCTCTCTGTGTGTCTCTCTCTCGCCATCTGTCTCTCTTTCTCTATGCATGTGTCTCTCTGTCCCTTTCTGTGTGTGTATCTCTCTCTGTCGCTCTCTGTTTCTCTCTCTTTCTCTCTGCAGGTGTATCTCAATCTGTCTCTTTCTCTCTTTATGTGTCTCTTTCTCTGTGTGTGTGTGTGTATGTGTATGTGTTTGTTGCTGTCTCTATATGTGTCTCTCTCTGCCTCTTTCTACCTTTCTCTCTGTGTCTTTCTCTTTTCTGTGTGTGTGTGTGTCTCTCTCTATCTCTTTCTCTCTCCCACTCTATATCTCTCCCCCCCCTCTCTCTCTCTGTGTCTTTGTCTCTCTTCTCTGTCTGTGTGTGTCTCTCTCTCTGTCTCTCTGTACCTCTATGCTTCTTTCTCCCTCTTTTTATCTCTTCCTCTCTTCTCTCTGTGGTTTGTGTTCCTTTCTTGATTTGTTCTGCTAGAACGTGACACAGGAGTTGTAGTTGTGCTTTCTCGTTTGGAGCTGGTGACTCATGATCTACTTTTGGATCAGAGCACATTTACTGCAGCTGCCAGTGTCTCAGGCTTGTTAACTAGACTTCCCTTAGCAGCAGATTGTGCAGCTAAACCCATTCACTTATTTTTCAAATCAAATATACTCCATTGTCCCTGGGGAAAATTTGTTGTATGCAAAGTGCTGAACAACTTCTGAACTGGTCACGCACAGTAAAGGATAAGAAACACATGGCACTTGAATGATTTGGGGAAAATGTCTAATTACATTTTCCTGACAAATATTAAAGGTGCACCATAGAACTGGTGTTCTGTCAATATGGGCTGCCCCATCGAAATGAGCTACCAGCAGCCTAAAGCGACACTGACATCTATCGATTCACGCTACCCCGTCGAAATAAGCTATCTTACGTTTTTCCTTTTACAGTTATATAGATCCAGTTTTACAACATATTTCTTTGGATTAGAGACAGCGGGTTTGATGCCATTTGCACATGGTGATCAGACTTTATTTCTTAGTTATGTCAAATTTCAACTCATTTATATGAATATGCGTAAGTAGTTCAGTTTAACAGTCGAATTATGCTATCAAATAGGGCTCTGACTAAAGGTAGCACATATTGACAGGCCAATTTAGCCATCAAATAAAGCTCTGTAGAATCACCATTATTTACTCATTTATATGAATTTGGGCAGAGGTAGCTCATTTTGACAGTCTTATATTTTCTATCAAATAATGCTCCCACTGTAGAATCACCATTAGAAATAGGAAAATGACATTGTACTTTGCCATGAAATATCCATCCATCCATTTTCGTCCGCTTATCCGGGGCCGGGTCACGGGGGCAGCAGCCTAAGCAGGGACTCCCAGACTTCCCTTACCCCAGACACGTCCTCCAGCTCCTCCGGGGGAATCCCGAGGCATTCCCAGGCCAGCCGAGAGACATAGTCCCTCCAGCGTGTCCTGGGTCTTCCCCGGGGCCTCCTCCCGGTGGGACATGCCCGGAACACTTCCCGAGGGAGGCGCCCAGGAGGCATCCGGAACAGATGCCCGAGCCACCTCAACTGGCTCCTCCCGACGTGGAGGAGCAGCGGCTCTACTCTGAGCTCCTCCCGTGTGACTGAGCTCCTCACCCTTTCTCTAAGGGAGCGCCCAGCCACCCTGCGGAGGAAACTCATTTCGAGCGCTTGTATCCGTGATCTTGTCCTTTTGGTCACTACCCAGAGCTCATGACCATAGGTGAGAGTAGGAAGGAAGACTGACCGGTAAATCGAGAGCTTCGCCTTTCGGCTCAGCTCCCGCTTTGTCATGAAATATCCAAAAGGTAAATTCACAAATGTTGAACCATCTATTTTCGATTATTGATTAAACCCAAGAACTTACTGTACTGCAGCATAATTTTGCAGTTTAGCAGTGTAAATTTTATCTGACCCCCATTTATATTAATTAACACTGGCCTACTGAATACTGTGATGTCATTGGAAACCCAGCAATGAACATGTCATTTTCTGAAATGCAATTCTTGTATTAGTTTGTTAGTTAATATTTGAATCTTTTTGTTAAGTCTAGACACGTAAAAAATGTGAACTTTGAACAGATCGTATTATTAAAACATAAATCACAAATCTAATCACAGTCAAAATGCTTGTCAGAAATTGTATACCATGTAACCATAAAACGAATGAGTTTTGACAGATTGACTTCCTGCTTAGATAAGCACAGTGTTTCTCTTCTGTAAAGCTCTGTATTCAGCTCATTTATATTTCTCACATGGGTCATTTTTTGTCCATTAACATTCATTTTCTGGTCAAAAGCTGTGTTTTTCTGTGCTATAACTCTTAACAGAAATGAGGTGGATTTTATGACATATAAACTATAATCCCCATCTGGCCTGCTGCATGACCTGTATAATGCCTCACTGGGTCCTCCCTGTGTGACTCAGCAATGCATGCTAACATGAAGTCATGCACACAGCTGTTACTAAGCAACTCTCACAAGTCACAACCTCACACAGAGCAAAAGGCCCCCAATTAGAGACCTGCTCCAATCATTTACAAATCTAGAGTTTGTGTTTTTGTGCACCTGATGGATGGTCCCGCTTGGCCTGTTTTAAAAAAAAAAAGTTAAAGAACAGTTAGTGATCCCTCAGTCTTGATGCAGAGTTTGGGACCAGAACAGTCTCCACGCTGCTGCTCTTTGGGGCCATGCCACAGCCTCTGCGCTCACAAAGAGCCCTCTGTAAAACTACTCCAGTCTAATTGGGCCACTACACATGTAAACACTCACACTGTGTCCTCCTTGTTCTCATAACTCCACTGTTGTGGTCCACAATCATTTTGGGATTTGGTTTCAAAACTGTTGATCGAATGAATGAATGAATGGATCCATTAACAAGACAAACAATGAGTTTATTATAAATAATATAATAAATAACTCTAATAGTGAGGGGGCCTGGCACCTGCTTGCTTCTATGAATGTTATTGCTTAACAGGCAGTAAACCGTGCACCACAAATGTTACGTAGTTCACCTTAAACTTTTGTTTTCTGCAGTTCAGTCACAACAGTCTGTGTGTTCCTGCAGGTGCCATTCTCAGTTCTCCAGGGGGAGGGGGTGGAGTTTCTTGGCCGTGCCGATGAAGCCATCATTGCCATGTCTAACTACAGGCTGCACATCAAGTTCAAGGACTCTGTCATCAATGTAAGTGGCCCTCATAGGAACACCGCTTTACTCACAAAGGTGCCGTTTGAAGACGAGTGACCTGCCACATCGCCACAGAAAATCTAAAGTTTTTGCACCACAGCAGCCATGGCGCTAACACCTGGGCGATACTGAGATTTAACTCAAATGGAAGATTCATTAGTTCTCTTTAATACATCTGTGTGCTAAAACACAGGTTTCCCACCCATTTCTCCTATTGGTTACCCTCTGTAAGGCTCTGAGTGACAGGTGGATTTAAACAGTCACAGTGAATTGTGAGCAGAAGATTATATATATTTTTTCTATTGTAGTAAAAATAAATAACAGTGTATCTTGTGATCAAATCTAAATTGTAATCTGGCTCAAAGAAAATCATGATCTGAGGCACCAAAGCAAAAAATGATATCTGCAGCACTGGCAGTTTAGTGGCATAGAGGCTCCACTCACAGAGTAACATTGACACTGCAGACTGGCGGCTCCTCTCTGACGTCAAGCCTTACTAGCACACAGGTCGATTGTTTTCATTCAGAGCTGGGAGAAATCTCAGTCTTCACAAACTTACGTAACTTTTTCCAGGACTCTTCCACAGAAATTTTGCTGAAATAAGTTTAGACATGCATCAATAAGACCCAGACACACATATGCTTGTGCAGTTTTCTCTAATAGT